AAAGTAAAGATATTATACTCTGACCTAGTAATCAGCATCCGATTTGAAAGGAAATGAAAAGCTCCTAACAGAGTATTATATATTATATCCAAAAAAAGCCTGGCTTATTCATCTGGATTTTTTCAGGACTTTATCGTAAAAGGACTTCTAGTTCTAGCAAAAGTATTAATTATATAAATATTATTGCCTACCAAACCTGGATTACAATGCTTTACTAGGGAAAGGAAACTCTGAGTTAATAATATCGAATTAAAGAAAAATGTTTGATTCAATGATTATACTCATGTAATAATTTTCGATAATTATAGTTTTGATAATAAACAATGAATAAAACAAAAAAATTAGAATATATAATAATAATAGTTTAATATAATTTATTATAGAAAATAGGGGACTTTATATTATTTATTATATTATACATTTATTTGAAGATAAATAAAATTTAAAGAGAAAAAGTATTATCATAGATTCATTACCTATTCCTAACTAGTTCGGATAAATGCCTTAGGCATTCATCTATTATATAATCGTTGCACTCTATGTGCCTCCTCTCTTTGTCAAATATTATACATCATACCTAGTACCCACTAGAACCCGTACCAGCCCCGTGATATAAGATATATTACTCGTATTAATTTATGACGTCTTGTTTGAGATATTATATTCGAATATCGATAACAAAACTTGAATTACATTCGGTCAGTTAGTTAGATAGTAATTATACTACAGCTAGGCCATCAGAGGCCATCGCCTCTCGCATACATCATCAACATACTCGAGTGTTATACACAGTCAGTACTATTCCTATCCAGATACAGAATTCCGATCCACTAGGGAGATACCTCACAATTACAATTACAATCACAGATAGACATAGCTACAGACAGACACAGATCAGATACACCATACAAATCTCAGTACATGATTCTCGGTACGATACCGTACGAAAATTATAGGGGTAGACCCTTAATTTCAGTATTCAATTTCCATCTCCATCTCCATCCCCATCCACCCAACTCCCAATTCCCAACTCCCAGCCCCAGCTCCAAACTCCAGGCCAAACTCCGCGCAATACCCTACTCATCCCCATCCCCATACCCAGTATCTCACCTCACCTCATCTCATCCCAACCCAACACCAATACCCACCCCAACACCCACCTAACACCACACAACATAACCATACAAAACATCATACCTCACCCCAACACCCAACACCCACAAAACAAAATGCAAAACGGCAACCCACATACATTGCACAGCCCATCTACCCACAGCCCACGCACCCACACCCCACGCACCCCCAATCCCATCTCGATACTCGGTACTGAGTATTAAAATTTGTACTCGGCGCCCCCTCTGTCCCCGATAAGCTTATCAAGATTATCCAGATTATCAAGATATCAATCTATGTCATAGGATATCGACTTATACTCGTACATACTGATGCATATATACTGATGCATACGTCCAAATATGTCAATAACATGATATTGTTCTATGTATCCATGATCTATAGTTTTGGGAGTATGTATGTACTGTGGAGTATGGTATGGTATGTACTTGGGGGCTAATGTGAGATGAGATGAGATGAGATGAGGTGATATGATTAGATGGATGGGAATCGAGTCTTGTCTTGTCATGTCGTTAAGCTTTTTTAATCACTTACTTACTTACTTACTTCCTCGAGAGGAGTGAATGGCTAGCTAGTTGGCTAGCTGAGAATGAAAATTGAATAATGAATGATGAACCGAACGCGGGTCGTATAACATAGCGTAGCATAACGGGTACGCACATCCATCCATCCATTCATCCATCCCGACGCCGGCGAACGAAAGGGTGCGGATACTTGCTTGCTTGCTTGCTTCCTGACGGTAAGGTAAGGTAATCAAGTAATCTCCATCTTCAGCCCTGAGGAATGCATGTCATCATATCATATCATATCAAATCTAATCAGTCAATATGAGTAGATCAACAAGACGAGATGAAGCGAGACGAAAAGCCCAAATAAATGCAGGGACCATCCATCCCATCCCATCTAGTTTTGGGAGCGAGAAGGAAAAAGTGTGCATAGAAGCGGTGAAGCGTGATGTATCATATTAGTCTCGATGATGGGTCTCGATGATGCATGCTAGCATGCGAATCGAGTGTGCAGGAAGAGGTGATTTCAATGTGATAGATGGGTGGTGTCTGTGGGTCAAACGTCTGTGGGTGGATGAATGTGGATGGATGAAGGTGAGGAATATGCTAAATTGGATGGGAGATCAGAAGAAAGTGATGTCATACAAGGGAACATAACATATGGAAGTGAAAGCGCATGTGAATGTGAATGTTCTAATTCGCCGACGTCCAAACTTCTCGAGGACTTCGCCCGAATGCAGTAAAAGGGGAAAGATGAAAAACAGGAAGATTCAACGCCCCTTCGTGCCTCAATACCTCACACCGAAACTTCGTGGCCAACGCTCATTCGGTCAGCTTGAAAATAAGGCTATCTATGCTACTCCTCGAGGAGTCTTATGATTGTCATCACATCACGACTCTTGGCGTGACCCCCACTCAGGAGACCCCTCTTCTTTCTTTGAGATAATACCATGCCCCTGAAAAACGCATACGGTGATAAGAACAATAAATTAATCAATCAATCATACCAGATAAGATGCTCTACATACTTGTGTAGATCCTCATCCTTCTATACATATGACAATCCGTTATGCACTTCACACTTGATAGTGGCATTGGCATGCAAGTATCCGATCTTTCATGCACAAACGGTGATACGGCATGCACGCTAAGCATACGCACGACATGAGTTCTTGCATATCATCGAGCGAATCGAAGAATGACCACGCCAGTCACTCAGAAACAGTAATCCCGACTTGCGGCTAACGACATACTGTGTGCATGAAAACTCGAAGCTGTCAGTAGAACCGGAACCGCGATGTCCATGGTAAAGAAGAGCATTGGTCTATTGCGTGGAGTGTGTATGAACAGTTTTTTGCGAAAGGTATGAAGAATTGTTTCGAGGTAGCCGGCGTCGGATTTGGTGGTGGGGTAATCAAAAAGTCGTGGGAAAAAGTTAATTATCGAGTCTTGAAAAGGGGGACAACCCGCTACTAGGGCGCCATGCGGCCGAATCAGCCTGATGAGACCGATGAATGGGATCCAATCCGGAGCAAGAGACTACACATCTCATTGGCCTGTTATCCGTCAATGTGTGTAAGATTCGTACGACCAGTCAAGCCGTTCCGTGCATATACCTGTGCAACGGTATCGCATCCCTGGGTCCGTCAAAAAGACGTTAGGAAGAACAGCGGGTACCATGAAGTACCCACGAGTTCAGACCATTCTCGGGAGAGACTATCTCTGTGTCGCATCGTACCAATTTCGGAAATTTGCTTTCCCAGTACCTCATCTCCATTTTGCAACGCCCATTTTGGCCCTATATGCATTACGCCCACGAATTTCCCAATGACAACCCAAATCCATTTGTCTGACCATCTCCATTGTGCAGAATGAATGCGGTAGTGTAGCGTCAGCCCGAGAAGGTTCCATTCCGTTGGTAATGATTTTACAATAAAAAAACAGCCACCCACATCCATCGGCAGCAATGGCGTCGTCAAATTAGCCCTGGATTTCTCATCACAAACGTGTTTGGTATATTACCGGCATATCTATCAGGATGAAAATCGGATCAGCAGACCGTTTTGCACTTCTTCTAAATTGCTCTTGCTTTGAAAGTAGCCAATGATGAGATGAGAAGCATATATGTGCGAGAGAGGACAAGAATTACCTTGTTTGAAAAACTCAAATAAGAGCGGTGAGACCTGGTGAGAATAGTGATCCCTAATGCCATGTGCATAGAGCTACCGGGTGAATCCTCACGATATCTGATGATGTGTTTCTTGTTCAAAGAAAGACGAAGCTGACGGTGAGAAGATGGCATTGGGGGCTGAACTGACTGGCTTTTGGAAAGCGTGGGGGATTGCTACCATGATGAGAGCCGAGAGGAGATGCGAGAGAGTATGATCTCTATAAGAAGAATGAGGATCGCCCCAACAGAGTGAGGATTTTGAAATGCGCAGGATAACTACACTTCATATTTAGCAATATCGCACACTTCCTCATTCTATCTTCGAAATCATCAAACAAATCATTTGTTTTCACACGACACGGTATATTTATTACAGTTGAACCCCATTCGGACCTTCCAACCTCAATTCCACAATGTCTTACTCACACTCCAGTCAAGAAAATTATGGCTGCTGTATTAAAGGTGCAGTGATATCGACTTGTCCGTATTGCGGTGGTTTGCCACGACGAGTGTAAGCACTTTCAAGTCCCTAATTGATATGTTTCACGTCAATATTTCCTACACTTCAATTTGCAGAATCTAATAAGGAGCTTTAGACTGGCCTGCCGGCCTTGCAATGGTTCCGGGGTGTTTACATCGCCTTGTGCATATCACCCTGTGCATGAAGGCAGCTATTCCAGTACTTTGTATGGTTTACCGGATCAAAGAAATCAGAATGGAAAACGCTCCTCCGGAAAAGGCAAGAGCGGTAAAGGCGGGAGAGCCAGATAAATGACCCCTCATATGCTCCGAGTCGGAAATGGGGTGAATTGTGTCCTTGTCAGCTTTTGGCGTTCATCTTTTATGATCAATTGAATTGGTAGTCCACTTCTTGGTCAAATCTGATCTTTGAAGAATGGAGTACCTGGCATCGAAAACTTGGCTCTAGCATCCGTCTAGAACTAAGAAAAGTTTCAGCACTATGACTTGAGGGGTCCGAATTTCATATTTCAGGGCGTGGAGAACAGTATTCGGTGATACATGGCATCTGGGACCATCCAGAACGGTAGACACGGAGAAACAGACGGATATACCGAAGCAAATTCGAGACTGGGTGCCATCCAGAGCGACCGTTAGGGAGAAATGGGGTCAGCGATTGCGGGGTTTCCACGGCTTCGGGACGGTGAACATTATCTTTCCGTCGGAATGCAACGAGTCGATCGGGTGTGCAACGGCGTTTTCGTAACTCGGAATAACGGAGTACGGCATACTGTAAGGTGATGCCCCGATAAACCTCCCAATCGCGAAGACCAAGCCCTGGAAAACCCAAAAAACCATCTTGACCGGTCATGCCATTAAGGGGGGTGACATTCTTTGTGTGGCGTATGGAGCTTTCTTTCATATTGTTTACTTGGGGTCGATTAGCAAGACTTGGTGTTACTTTACGCTGAAGTCTCATGCGTAACAACTTGAGTGTCCCGGTTGAGCTCAGGATGCTAGCCTATACCATTCTTCAATAACCCCACGTGGGATTTCCTTGTATCTTGTAATCTCTTTGCACTATTCATTTGTACCCGAGTTTCTATTTTGACCGAGATAGTTGGGAGACGCACAAAGGAATACGCGCGGGCGTACAGATACGGAGAATTGTCACGGGGACATTATTTCGTGGGTGTTGATGGATGGTGGAGATGCGTACAACATATTCTTGCGAGCATGGGAGGTGCCCTTGGGAGTTTTTGATGACAATGGATAGTATGGAGTGCTACTCTCATTACTCTCCATATGATTGAACGAATGAATATGATTCGGTATTCGAAATTGAATTACAGTCGAGTTCCTGTTTTTTTTTAATCCTTCCTCAAATTCTCGTCCCTAGTTAGTATCAGATACGCCACAGTAGCACGACATACTTGATGCCCAGTAGTGCAAACGCACGTGAAAGATGCTAATTGCGGCTTAAAGTTAACTTACTTGCTGCCGATAAGTTCTTCTACAACAACGGACTTGAAAAATCCAATCAGAATAGGAATTTCTTGACCTCTTCCCCATTTGGTCCACCTATGCTATCTCCATATTGGCTGAAGATCATCCCATTGATAGAAACCGGCCAAATCCTCGATGTTCATGAATCTCGATATGGAAATGCTTGTTGGTACAACATATTATAACATACCAATGAAATCTACCTTATTTTTCCATTGGCGCCAGCATTTCTAAACATTTTTTCTAGCGAATCGGTGTGCCATTTGCTTCATCCGTATGCCAATCTCGGACCTCAATAGAAGCAACATTTGATGATATAGCAATTCGGTTGACGCGCTAAATATAGAGAATCTGCCTCCGAGAGTGTTAAGACAACGTCTTTATGGATGTGAAAATGAGAACATTTCGGTAGTGCAACGTGGGACTAGCTACTACTACATTGCATGCAACTTGTCAATATAATGTTCCGCTGTCATGGAACCTGCCATCTGACTGATATCGACCCCAATAAAAGGGAATGGTTGAGATGGGAAACAAAGGTAATACAAATCCGTTAATCGATCACCCCGGGGTCGTTAAGGGTCATTGATAGTATCGTGTTTCCCAAGCTCCCAACCTTACTGGTATGTACTGAAGGAGAAAGCCGGGATTGTATGTGATTAAAACCGCCATATCTTATTGCCGTCTTCTGGCAAAAAATAACGTTTTGCTCTGCATGGTCGGGATGTGGTCATGAAGATACATTTGGTAGCACCACCTCATCTCATCGATATAAACAGCCAATAAACTTCGCGAGTTTTTCATCGCAGTCGTGCTATATGACGAGAATATGTGAGTAAGGGAGATCAGGTACATCTTAAGCCTCTTTTATCGCTCTCGGAAATGTTCGGTATTCGCATTCTTCAGCAAAATGAAAACGGTCAATAATGGTCAGTGTGGTGGGGTAGTCACACGTTTTCTACTGATCCTGTTGCACCACATAACAGCTTTATGATTGCAGGATTCGATAAAGGTCATAACGAGATTGGCTGTTGAGAGAGGATGGTTCGATTGAAAGGGTGGAATCTGCAAGTGCATGTCAGCGTAAGTAGAGATGAATGGATTTCTACTAGTAGCTTGTGGTAGAACAAACATCCCACTTCCAATAATATCCTGAACATCGATATTCAAGCTCAAGAGGGTTTGTTTGACTTCGAATATCGAACTAGTATGTTGATAATAATGTTTTTGTTTCGCTCCTGGTAATAGTCTGTAACTCTGCTTGCTGCAGTTTTAGAAACCTTTGGTTGAAGCTCTCCTGATATCTTCATGTCACATGCTCAACCCGGAATCGTCGTATTACAATATTTTTCGAAGCAATATCTCGTACCTCGACATTCGGGAGCAAATATACTCTTTGGATATTATTGTGATACCGACGCATGTACACAAGATTGATTGAATGGACATTTTGGCAATCCGTGTTTCAACGTTCATCGTCGTATATTGCACATCATAAGACTGAACGGTTTTTTTGGGAATATTTTGAGATGAGGCTTGTACAGCAATCACTTCGATCATACTCATACACCTTGTACTGAAAGATTTCCGCCGAGGTCTTTTCCAGATAAATTTTCTGAAAACTGTAATCGATTCCATCATACTCATACACCTCGTAATCAATCTCTTACTGAACGATTCCCACCATTCTTTCCGATATGATAAATTTATGAAGAACAGCAATCATTTCCATCAAACACCCTACCTAGTTCTTCGCAAATACTATATATAATGTGCGATAAAAGAATAGAATAAAACATTCTCATCTTTCATCCCCACTGAATATTGACGGACACATAAGATAATCCAAGCACAACGACATACATCATCTTCATCTTCATCAACCTCCTTCCGCAGTAGCTTAGGTACCTATGAAATTTAAAATGAGATGATGTTGAAGATTTTAGTCAAAACAAATCATTGAAGTTCTGATTGTGCAAAGGTCACTCCGCCACTTGGCGTGAAGCTCTTTTTGAAACTACTGAACATGTTCATATCATATCATTGCTATAATGTGAGAAGAAAACCTTTTACCAACTTTATGTATTTTTTCTGAGGTTATTCTCATTAACGATACAGAACGGGAGATTGATACAGTACATATATATTTATATACGAATTTTATCTCAATCCAACAATATCTATCCCCGAATTACCTTCTTCACATGAAGCAGTCGTGAATGAGTGAGTAGAGTAAACGTGATTGAGTGACATGAGTTCAGTTCAGAAAGATGAGATGAAGATGAAGGAACAAACTATTGTTTCAAGATATCAAACTCGAATACACTCAATACTGTATCGTTGTCCGCATCCATCTTTAGCCTACCTAATATCTTATTCGACCGCCCATCACCTAGGCCAACCAAGAAATCGAATTGGGTTGGGTGGACTCGGTGGAGGTGTCGATGAGATGAGGCATTGAATTATTCCTCTGGCCCCTGGATGCTGATTCTGATTCTGATTCTGATTCTGATTCTGAATAGACTGCTACCTGTCATGGGATGGATGTCTCTTGTTTCATCATAATCATGAACATGAAGAAATCATGTAGTCTGAGCGTGGTCAAGGTGGGTGGAATGTTAATGTACTCGAGTACACGTTTAGTCCTCATTTGTCCTCCCCTTCCCTCGACTTTGACAATAATAATGACAATAATAATGGAGTTTTTCTTTTCTTTCCCAGTGCAATGCAGGAACAGCAGATGACTACGTACCAGTACCAGTACCGAGTACAAAACTCACAGTATCAATCATCAATGACAATGACACTCCACATTGGTTTCATCTCCTACTCGTTGTCAACTTGTCACTGTGTCAGACTGTCATCAGTGTGTTGTAACTTATAACTTACCTCCGTACAACTAGGCACCATTTTTGTGGAATACAAGTGATTCAGATTTTGCGGGGGAGGGAGAACAGGGGAATATACATACCGGCAAGGGAATACCCTCCGTACACGGCAAACAGCGGTATATATTTTCAGCCCTGCTTGCTTGCTGATTAATAAAAGGTCTGGCCTCGTTCTGGTTCTGGTTCTGTTTCTGTTTCTCCTTTCGTGTGGGGAATAATGAATTGAAATTTTCAATGAGTATATATATATAGATTGATATCACTAACTAGATAATTAAAAATCTCTTTTTGAGCTTTCAATATTCTGGAATCTGTACAGAGGTAGAGAGTAGATTCTAAAAAAAAGGAAATGTTTTGTCAATTACTTGTATAATCTCGTGTCATTGGTTCATTTTTATTGGCTGAAGGCTATATATATATATATAATTGATCGAATTGAGCCATTTGAACTATATAATTTCGCTATCTCTTGCCCCTTGAATATACAAAATATTTGTGAGTATTCATGGTACCTGAAAATTTACATTTAGCGGAGAATTTAATTTTGAGTGGGAGAAACATAATCGATTGGCGGTAAGATGAGGCTTTTCTAATTGATGGAATTCAGAACAATTATGGCGATATCTCATCAATTATTCTTTTAAAAATGATGATTTTTGTGACCTGAAGCACGTTTTTGATTGTTATTTATACCAAGATTGATGATTCAATACTTAGTCTTAGTCTTAGTCTTAGTCTTAGTCTTAGTCTTAGTGAAGTCAAATTTGACGAATCTCCTCATATCCTCATATCCTCATCCTATAATAGAGTAGTACTACTCATATTTTCCCCTCAAAAACCTCTCACCGTACCACACACACCACATGGCCACTCCTCAACTTCCACAGATGGCAACATTAATGCATCGGCTTAGCACGCGCCAACGGATGATAAATCTGAAGCAAAAGAGCTGACGAAATAAGAAGTTAAGAACTTCAACTTTTCTCACGATGTTGCAAGATCGACTGGATATCCGAATTTCAATTACCCCCAGGTTTGCTTCAAGGCAAGGACTAGATCAAACTAAGAGGATCATTTTCTAGGATGAGGGGTTAAAATGCATGGAAAGGGAAGGCTCTAGCGTTTTGTGATTTCGTAATAGTTACCACAATTTTCTATCACGAGTTGCAAGTGCGAGATTTGTTTGGTTCAACTTTTGGCTGGGGTGACTTGGATAACTTGGATGACTTGGATAACTTGGATGACTTGGATGACTTGGATAACTTGGATGGAACGGCAAGATGATTACTTCTAACTGCTAGATGCTAAACGTTTTAGAAAGACTAAAAGATGAAAAAGAATCTTTGGATGAAGAGAAAAAAGACTTTTTATTATTGTTAAATGGATTGGATGACTCGTATTGGGAATTTGTGAGGAGTCACCTGTCCCACAAGGTAGAGAAGGTGGAAGGGTAGGTGTACAAAGTAACAAGGTAAGGAGTAATAATAAAAGTTAAAGGAATAGAAAGAATAGAAAGGATATATAAGAAATAGAAGGCCCACATTCCTCTACTATTCTAAAACAAAATATCAGATTATACTCAGTACAATTATACCGATATTATACTCTCATACAATTAGGAAGCTATTATTATAATTATCGTTTCATCATTGATCATTCACTTCCAAGAAGTCTCAAGCTATTACTTCATCAACCGACTACTACAAACTTCATCCAACACCACGTTACTACTTCTTCTATTCTACTTCATCAATCACCTACCAATAAATTGATCAATCAACTTGAACTACCTCATCAAAACATCTTCAAGCTACTTACCAAAATCCGAGTACTTTCTACAAATAAATACCAAATCGACAACGTCATAACAACACACCTTCGAACTGTTTACAAAAACTCAAAGTACTTTCTATAAACAATCACTACAGCAACTCATCTTCGAGTTGTTTACAAGCTTCGAGTTCCTTTTACGAACACTCATCTTCAATCTGTTTACAACCTTCGACTACCTTCTATAAACAATCACCTCATAAACACCCCAAACAAACATCAATCATGACATCTCGATACCAAGTCACCGAGCCTCACCCTCACGTCTCCACGTCCTCCTTCATCCATTCCGGCCGCGGCGGAGCAGGTAACACATTCAAAGCACCCAAAACCAGCGATGGCCGCAACGCACGCGGACCCGCATCTCTCTTCACCTTCGGACTCCCCCAAACCTCCATCAAATTCAGCAGCGGCCGCGGCGGCGCCGGTAACATTCTTCCCACGTCGAAAAAAGCCCCTTTTTCCTTTGACGAAGAACTGGAGCGTCAAAGCACGCGCGAGAAAAAGATGAGTGAGGGTGGTTTGTGGCATGTAGGTCGAGGTGGTGCCGGTAATTATGTCGGTGGCAGACCGGAGAGTGAGAGTGGGAGGAAGAACTCGACGAGTTCGGAGGAGAGTCATGCGAGTGCGGGGATTGGTGGATTTTTGGAACGTTGGACTTCGAGGTCTTCGGGGTCGTCGAGGTCTTCGGGGTCGTCGAGGGCTTCGTAGGGTTGGGGTTCTTGTCGGTTTGAACCTTGATACTTTTTACGAAACGATACTGAGTTGTTTTCATGTCTTGCTTTCTTGGTTGCATGTAACAACAACACTCTATACAACAATACGCTTTACTTCACTTTTCTTTACGGCATGCACAAAAAGCATCACAACGGCGTTCCAATAGCATTTCAACAGCATTTTCACGACCTTCTTACAATACAACACAACAATACAATACTCATAATCAACCATTCAACAATGGCAATGGCGCACATACGGATGGATACGGCAAACGGCACAGGGAAACGGGGGGAATAAAAATAAGGTCATTGATTGGGACCTTGATACTACTTTTCATTACTTTGCTTTACATTGCATTGCTGGCTGGCTAGCTGGAAAGCATATTCTAGCAGTATTGTTCTTATTGGTGATTTTAATTCTTTCACCTCGGATGCGAATACGAATGCGAATGCGAATTGGCGATTGATGAATGGATGGATGGGTGGATGAGATGGATGGGTATACTAATAAACCTGAGGTACATACATACATACATACATACCTACCTACCTACCTACTTTTATGATACCCCGGGTTTTCTTCTTCTTATGTATTTGGGATTGGAGGTGAAAGAAAGAAAGGAAGTACCTAAGGAAAGAAGGAAGGAAGGAGAGAGGGATAGCTAGCATATCTACCTAAGATAAGATAGATGGTCTTCCTTGTGAAGTTATCATCATTATACCTACCCTATCCACTTAGTATATAATAATCCCACCAAACATTACATCATATTACATTTATCACGTTCAAGTTGCATTTTCTCGTCAATTAATCACATTTGTTTTTGAGGGTATTTTTTTTTCAATTCTTTTTCTGAAATTATATAAACGTGTGAGTGAGTGAGTTAAGTCAAATTATAAGGTAAGGAAAGGAAACTTCTAATGAAAAGAGATACCCTGCTTCGTCTTTATCCCCTTCTTCTACTTCTTTTTTCTCTTTTTCTTTAACTTCTTTAACTTCTTTAACTTCGGTTCAAAATCTTCAAAGTTCTAGTTCTTCGCATTTCAGAATCGAATCAGGAGAGGAGAGGAGCTAGTTCTATTGTGTAGTTCTATTGAGTAGTTATGTAGTTATATTAGTTATATTAGTTATATATATACGAGAGTACAGTACTTGGGTATATTAGGTGGTAGGTAGGTGGTAGGGAGAGGTAGGGAGGGAGGGAGGGAGGGAGGGGTAGGGAGAGGTGGTAGGTGATAGGTGGTAGGGAGAGGTAGGGAGGGAGGGAGGGAGGGGTAGGGAAGAGTAGGGAGGGGTAGGGAGGTAGGGAGGTGATAGGTGGTAGGGAGGTGATAGGGAGGTGATAGGTGGTAGGGAGAGGTAGGGAGAGGTAATATGATGGATGGATGGATGGATGGATGGATTTGGATTGGATTTAGGGTTGGAATGGATTTTTGGGGTTTGGGGTTTGGGGTTTTTTGAAAAGGGAGTGTTGGAAAGGGGGGGAATGAATAGGGGAGTGGAATTTGGAAAGGGGGGGAATAGGGGGGTATGGAATTAAAGGGGGGTTTAAATGGGGTTAAAAGGGGTTTAGATATCATTTAGTGATCTAGTGATCTAGTGATCTAGTGAATGTCCTCTGTATGTAGGTAGGTAATTTGATGAATGGATAGGATGGGTTGATAAGATTTGGTTTGATTTTGCTACATGGGAGATAAGGTGAAATGAGATAAAGTGAAATATACATATCTATCTATCTATATTTCTTTCTCCAACCAGTTTCAGTTCAAGTTAGGACTTAGAACTTAGGAGGAAAGAGGGAAAGAAGGAAAGAAGGAAGTAAGTAGAGTCAAGAGAAGAGCTCAGGCAGGTGTAACTGATAGTTAAGGTGGTTTGAAAGAATACGAATACTGTATTCTCGAGTATCATGTAATGCCGTCCGTGGCTAGCTGGTATTTAAATAGGCAGCACGGACGGTACCGGTACTTAACTCAGGGAGGGAGGGGTTGTGACTTTCTTCCCCGCATTTTATATACGGGTACCTAGGTAGGTACGAGGTTAGGGTTAGGGTTTATATGGCATTTTGATTGATTAGAAGAAGCGTTTCGTTTGGGCTTGGGTTTAAGCTACATTCTTCATTAAATGAAACAGATCGGAGTCGGGATGTCTTTCAAAATGATTTTTCTTGATCAATTTGAGTAGGAGGAGACTATTGATATAATTAAGATTCAATTGGAATATCTTTATTGTATCACCAAAAGTTTGGAGGGGTAATAATGTTAGTTTTTCTAAAGGGGCTAGCCTATAAAGTCATCTAATGGTTCTTTATAGGAGGTTTTACTCTGTGTTTGAGTATTTGTCACCGCAGACACGGAACCTTGGGGCGGCTAGGGATTGAAAGGATCGGCGATCGAGATAAGATTACTAAGCAAAGCTACTCAAGTATAAATTGTAAAGACTGTAAAGATTTAAAGATTTGATTAGTAAATTTAAAGAAGTTTAATAAAAATATATTTAAGAAATAAAGTTATAAGATTATTGTGACCAAAAGGGTATAAACAGGACTCCGATTGTGTACTTAGAATCTACAAGTGAAGAGCTATATAGGGTACTAAAAGGAGGACTATATATACAGGTATTTGGGAGCTATAAAGGCTAGACCCAGAAGAGTGAAAGAGTCCTAGAGATAAGTATTATACAATGCCTAGGTCTAGAACTATAGAACTAAGGCTCTAAGCTATAAAAGGAAGATTCAAAAGAGCTATTATATTATACTATATATATAATATAAGCTAGTAAATGGAAAAGAGCTGTCTGTTCCATCATATTACCCCCCCTTCGAAAAAGTATGACCTCATATATCCTTTCATAAGCAAATCGCCTATGATTTCATTATAGTTATCAACTCTATTATCGTGTTTTCCTATTTATATTATAAAGGCAATAGATAGTTCTATTTGGCTAAGATAATTAAAGTAATAAACTTGAAATTTATAAAAAGAATATTTAAAATTATCTACTCTATACCATATGATATCCAAAGGGTGGTTTAACTAGGAAACCTAGTAGAAAACATTCTTATATTGCAATTTTGAAGCTAATATTTTCTTCATTTCCTATTCCTCTTTGCTAATAATATTCACAGGATATGGTAAAGAATTAATTTATCCTGGGAATAGATTTTCCAATACAAGACAAAGTTTTTTGGGAGGTAATATATCGAATATACACATTATTGCTGGGAGTGCAATTGATACAACTATCCAATTTTCTTTATAATCTTGTACTTGCCAATAATAAGGAAATCGAGCTTACAGAAGAACCACTGAGTTTTGTAATATCAAAAATCCAATCATATCATATCATCTACTTTAAAATCAGGTTTATAACAATATTTATTATATTATTAGATTATTTGATCTTGAGCATATTGGATTTGATTATAGGCAAATTCCTATAACGTGGTTTATCAGTGCGTCGCGCATATCAGTGCCTCGCGCACTTTTTCACTACTCAATCATTTCAAAATATTATTCAATAATCACAACATATAAAATTAATTGAAACTATTCAGAATCTGATAAACTAGAGTCTTCTAAATCCTCCTGACAAGTTCGTATATTATGACCAGTTTTACCACAAGAGCCACAACGATGTAAAGTTGATTGTTCCCCATTTGAACTACCCCTCTTAAAGCATTCGTTGCGTCGAATCTGATTATCTACATTGGTCTGTAATATAATATCATATCCATCTTGTATACTAAGTGTTTCTCCTTGACGAATTCGACTCTTTTTAGCTTTACAATGTTTACTCAATACCTCATTTGCCTTTCGAAGAGTACGAATCTCAGCACTCATAAGTGTCATCTCATGAGCTAATATCTCTGTACCTTTAGCTAAAGTTGCAACTATTTCAAATATAGGTGTAGGAGAGTTTCCTTGATGTTATGCAATTCGATTTTTAATTAAGGTTGATTACGAAAGAGTATTGTTCGAGTTGTGAGGTGTTTGAGAAATCTAAGGATCGAGTTTTATAGAGGAGGATCTGGTAGGTGTAGGTGTTCGTAATTTGATATCTAGCTTAGAAATAATAGTTTGAGGATCAAAGGGTATTAATCCAGCTCCGCGGAATCCAGATAATCCATTTTGAACAGTTATTGATTGTAGGTATGCTGCTTTGAAGGCTATAAGGAATTCGACCTTGGTGATATGGTTGATATGAGCCTTAATATACCCCTCAATTTGTTGACCATACATTCGTTTTAAAACACTAAAACATCCGACATCGAGTAGTTGAGTTAATATGCGAAGAATGAGAAGGTAATGAAAGAGTTATAATATTGTGTTCTTTGCAATATTCTTGAAATGCAATCGATTCGTGGCTTTCGTGTCCGTCTAATACTAGCATTCGATAACCATCTTGTTTTCGAGCAATAATATGCTTATCGAAGTGTTTAATCCACTCTAAACCTATCTCATTGTTCGTTCATCTATTATTAGTGACTTTAATCACCCAATCAAGTAGGAGATCACTCTCAGTATACCAACTCGAGAGGTGATTTTTGCTCTTAATTACTAAAAATGGAGGAATACTTTTTCCTATACCATTGATACATACAATCGCTGTAGCCCATTCTCGATTACCTAGTTGTATTGCTTTGTTTCTGCTATATCGTTCAGTATTAGTTATAACTATCCCAGGGTATATAATACCCATCATAAAGCCTGTTTTGTCGAAATTGTAGAAATCGCAATCGAGAATACCGTATTTCGTCTGCATATTTGATACTAATCGAAACCACCCTTCAATAAGCTTTGGATCTTCGCAAAGAGCTCTTTGGAAATCATAAACGCAATTAAAACGTGTCTTTAATTCTGGCCGGCGTTGTACGAATCGATGTGCCCAGAGCTTTCCAACGTAGTGTACTCCACGAGTATCGAGAATATCATTCGCCATATCTTCCACACCACTCAATCGAGGGGCAAATCCTTATATATCCATATCGAGGA